TGGTCGAATATGACATACAGTGGGGGTGATGGTAGTTTGAAGTGAGAAGTCAACTGCCAGTTAATAGACTTTTTTGTCGTATGACTATACGTTGCCCAGGGTGCACCACGAGGAGGTAAGTCTATCCCGCACCCCGTGACCAATCATCAACCTCTGTTTAACCTAATACCCCATCCTGATCACGAGTAGCTCCCTGCGTGAACACACTTTATACCCGTACTGAATAGGCGTGCTCAGTGCTACACGTCTGTTTCCTTTATAGCTGGGCTATAGCTTAGCTGGTAGATGTAGGAGAATCTGCCATAGAGATTTCTGAGTCAGTCAGGCTTTACTAAGGTAGCAATCCGCTACATAATAGAGGGTTAAATTTACAAGACGGATAACAATATCTATTATTGCAAGAAAGGAGAATTTCGTAATGATTTAATTAGTTATTTAAAGTAAAATTTAAGTTAAATGATATTAATGTATTTCTTATAAAAGGAATATAATCATCTTAAGTTCGGAATAAACCAAAATAGAAGGGAATATTTAATCAATGAATTTGGTCGCCACATCGACGAAATGTTCTGTTTTATTGGTTTTCACACCAAGTCCTCTGAATACCTCCGCAATATTAACTGTGCAATTGCGAACATAACCCAATTCATCAGCCATCGTCTTGAAATAGATATTGGATGAGAAATTTTTCACTTACCCGGGATGTAATTGATGTATTTATAGTCCGAATAGCATTGAATCCCATTTTTTTAGCAGCATTGATAAGATTCTCCTCTAATAGTATCAAAAGCTGGATCATGTCATTTCCCATATTTAGCCTTCTTGCTCCAAGCAATGCTGAGCTAAAGCATTTGGAAGGATCCTCTAATTTCTCTGCTCGAGAATCACAAATCTCAAAAGCTTCCTCGATCTTTCCGTATAAAGGATCAGATATATCAGATAATTTTGGTGTTTTCAGTGGATAACCCACAATTACACCTGAAACTTCTGAAAAGAGATCATTCAGAGGACCATTTGGATCACACTGAGTGAAACCGGCGACAAAGACAATCCCTAATAATTTTTCGAATTGTTTCAGTCTACTCAAGACGATCTCATGCATGGTTTTCTTATTCAATTTCAGCATACTCCCCATGGGTTCGAATTCTGTGAATGAATCAGCCAGTATATCGGCAATAAGATTTCTCCATTTTTTATCGAGTAATGGATCAGAATCAAAAGTTTTTCCCGGTTGAAATTCTCGAATAAATGGTACTTTACGACAATTTGAAGAGGATTTTGCAGTGAGGTCAGTCGCTTTAGTAAGGACGTCCAGGAGTTCACCGATTTTTTGATTTTCTGTAAAAAGATTCATATTTACCCGGTAGCCTTTTCTTCGCAGTTCGGAGGTAATAATTGCGGCCTAAAATATGAGGGAGGAATATTCAAAATAGCTCGGCTCAAGTGCGAAAAATGGTAGCCTAAGTAGATTGTGACACTTATTTTACATTTTTTGACTAGAAAATTCCAAATCTCACAGGAGTGTCTTCTGAACTCCAATAAATCGATTCCGTCTTCCTAAAATTTTACACATTTAGGCTAACTCTCAATCACTGGGATAAATTTGGTCAGTATTTGAAGCGCTGGAAAAGTTTTTAAACAATTCCATACAGGATAAATTGACTAACTTTGGAAATAGCAGGGCCCCAAAGTGAACTTGCTCATGAATCAAGGATAACTTATTATTATTATTACTATTATTTGTGTTTATTGATTTTAATAAATAAACAAATTAAATTGGAAGTTTAATGTACTTCGTTAATCAACATATTATCTCAAATTAACGCAGGTGGAACAGTGATATTCTCCAATCAGGAAAGTACTTAAAGCCAAACAAGTATTTGTAAAGGTTCATCAGTTTGAAGAATTCAACAGTGTCAAACGAAGTTAAATCGTAATGTAAAAAGAAGATTCAAGAGAGTTAATAATTTATTGCAGTCTTTCCTCACTGGTATTAAGGTAGTTGATCAACTACAGATCGAACATCAAGAAGGCTAATCATGGAACGCCAAGAAGACGTAGAGGGGAAAGCATTCACAAAATTTTGACTAAAGCGAGTTGATCAGAACGAAAGGAAGGCCTCTGATTCGACAAAGCTTACAAGACTAAAACGCATTCAAATGTGAATTCCTCTCTCAGGAGAACTAGAGTGCAATAAATGGGATGAATGCGAGGCTGACAAAGGCATTCAAGCTTCCATTCCTAAGGTTTCAAGGATACTCTAAGACTAAAATAGTAGGGTGATTAAAACGCTACACATCATAATTCTGTCAAAAATGGTGGAAATTAATTCATTGAGGTGAGTAATAAAAAATTAAAAGATTCAAGATCTTCTGCATCAAATCCACTTACATTTTAATCAAACTCACTACAACCAGGGAGTCATTCAATTGATCGAATAATAAAATATATGCCATTTTTGTAAGTAAGTGAGCAAATAACTTGATAAACGAAAACTCAGTTAGACAATGGAACAACTTTTAAGTTATAGAAATATTATTTCAATAATTGGCAGCTCACAGAAATAGAATTCCCTCCAATAAGAAAGAAATCTGCGTCATCATCAGGCTCTCCGTTTTCCACAGACGTTTCTGGTAATGCCAGAGTTTTCGCAAATATCCTTCGAAGACTCTCTCGTTTTTCGTCTATTTTGTCTTTTTTCTTATAGCCATTGCCTACCCCACTGGGCTTTTCATATTCTCCATCTTTGTAGTTTTGTCGCAACTTCATTTTGTCAATTTTTCCAGAATATTTCATGGTGGGAAATGTTGGCACCTGAGGAAGAAAGGAGGGAGACGCGAAACATTATCGCATGCTTCATTAAAATCTATCTATTCTGATTAATTACAGTGCTCTATTTACGATTGGTCAATGATGCGATCCTGTGGTTGCAATGATTGGATGCAACAGAGTATATTTCAGGGGATTTGTATAGGATATACAGTTTTCTCAAAGACAGTATTGGCCGCCTGTCTGGCTGCCACCACTAGCCGAACTGTCTACATTTCAGTATTTTTCGTACAAATTCAACAACAATCTATCAACCTTCGCATCTCGCAGGTGAATATTTTCTTGTTAAATGAAGAATGCACTTACGCATCTCACTCTGCTCACAAGGAACTATTTATCTTAGAAAAATTTTATATTTGCATATTCGATTTGAGCTATAATGAGTGTTGAAAATGAAGCTCGAAATTACCTCCAATCAGAACCGAACAAGATTAGACAAGATTTATTGTGCAGCGCATTTACCCAAGTATTACATATTGCTTGAAAGTTGATGTACAAAGAGATGAAAACGAAAGGCAAATAGCATTATAGGGGATAAGGAATTATATAATTTTAATTAATATTAAATATATATATATATTATTAAATATATATAAATAACTAAATATATATATTTCAATGCTCTGACACCTAACCTCCTGGTAAAATAAAAATTTTATTTTTGATCTTATTCAGTTCTCTGATGGTTGCGCATAAGGATACCATATGATCAAGTAAATACACAAACCGGAAATTTGGCTTAATGACTCTATAATATTGAATGCAAATTAAATGACCATAAGCGGTGAGGGGCTAGTGCTGATCAGAGTTACTGTAATCAAATTAATTGAATCCAGCAAATAACTAAGGTGGCAGAATTTGATTTTCAAATTCAGAAGGCTAAGTGACATTGATGCTCTGACAAATAAGCCTTGGACTTAGATGTTATAACTAATGATCACCTAAATAACTCGTTAAATCAATTCCAGTATCAAATAGAGTAAAGTTCTATGTGCTTTCCTTAAGCGCAATTTCATGTTAAACGAAATTATGAAATAGTTGAATGGTCATGGCAGCAATTTCAACAATTTCCAAAGCAATATACTTATCTGGTAAAAAGAACTGCTACTAACTAAATTATAGTAGTAATAAATGTTTAAATAATAATTCCAAAATGAAACCTACTTCGACGAAAATAACATGCAGAAATGATGTTAAATGAGTAGCCACAACATTCGCCAGGTCCATATTCGTAAATGTCTTTTCGCCATTAGTTTTATAGAAGCAAACTAATTGGGAACCTGTTTCACCTTTTTCCAAAGCAAGGGTCACTGTGTCTCCCAGAGTAGCAAATTTGCCACTACTTCTATCAACTGCTGCCAAAATTTGATCAACGTTTCCAACGGAAATTTTTACTCCATGCACCTTAACCATATCATCCACTCTTCCAGTGATGTAGAGATTCCCATTCTGTGGAGAAATAAAACCAACATCTCCAGTTTGAAATAATCGAGGGAAACAGGACAGCTTCGCCAAGTGATTTTTTGATAATGTTGGTGCCGGCCTAAAAAATATAATTCCGAAAATTTGTTTAAACAAACGTTTCCTTTTTAGCTTAAAATTTGTGAAACAACGTATCTACTGATTTGATATTTAATCTAAGTGATTAGTTTACGGTTTTTAAATTAGTGGCTTTATAGTGTAGGGAAGAAATAACTGTTACTTAGACACTGGATCCTTAAATTTCTTCTCAATTTTAATTTAAAAAGATAAGCGTAAGACAACCATGATGAATTTTGTGCTGACAGATACAATAAACCGACTATCCTTGTGTCTGTTTAATTCGTGTTCATTTTTTTCAAGCTAATTGGTAAATATTCGAGGTAGGTAGCACGAACTAAGGGGTTATTTGGCGATTTTTCAAAAACTCGGGTTATGAGCGGCTTCCATTGTCAGTTAAATTCTTGGAGAAACAATGAAGTGAATTTAAGTTGATGGTTAGATTTTAAAACGATTATTCGCCGCTGAAATTCATAAACAAAGGTCTGCACTCGCATACATATTCCTAATCACATAATTCACAGCCAGTTGTATTTATTCCGTGGAGTGCACAGCACTACCAGGGTGGATCAAGGCAATATCACGGACGCTAGAACATTCTGGAAAGTGCGGCAGTACTAGAGAAATTGCAAATGTTGTTGTAAAGACACCTCAGTCAACCAGGAATCACTTATGGCCGCAAAAGTGGCTTAGCACAAATATTATTTAATATCTAAGAATAGTAGCAGTTTGCCAAAAGGGCAATAAACGCTATTCATTCTATACTTTCTGTGTCCTTTCTCCTGTTGACGCAACTGCGTTAATTTTGGGAGTGATTTTTAACTCTGGGATTTCGCCAGAGACTAGATGTATTGGTATGTATCCCTTTGAGAGAAAAGAAAGTATTGAGTAATCTAATCCAAAGTATACAAATTTTATTGAGAGGTTAACTTTGAAAGCAGCTATTTTGGTTGACCATAAGACCTATAAGATATTGACTATAAGGCTAACAATTTTCCAATCACGCAGTTTATTTATTATGTTCTATTTATTAATTAACTACTAATCAAAATTTCTTATGCTTAATGAGTTGATTATCACCAAGATTATAATAAAAATGGTATTACATTTTAAACGATATATATATATATATGCTAATTAGTTTCATAATAATAAAATAATATTTAATGGTATTTATGGTGCCATAGCAAAATATAATTTTAATTTGCCTATAAAATTAATTTTCACCCCGGAAGTCTTTCTGTTTAAAGTAATATATCTGGATTTGTTTGGTCTGGGCTGGAAAATTTAATATCTTCATTAGAATTAATTGTTTTAGCAAGTTAAACTAACGAGCCAATTTAAAATATGTTAGAATGCTTATTGAAATTTACTTACTTTCTGTCCGATAAGCTCAGAATTGGTTCTTCGATTAAAATACCAGCTCCAGAGATCGAAACTTCACCCTCTAAACCCATGGGCACGACTTTAGCAGAGCCGCCTGTTCCGCTGTTAACTACGTATATTTCATTATTACTGATTGGTTTGCCTACTGGCAAGACGAAGCTCCCAGTTTGCAGTTTTAGGGCTGCTTTAGAGACTTCCTCCCTACTATCAAAGGTGAAGACTGTAATATCGCCAGCAACTTCAGTACTACCGTATAGATTGATCAATCTCAAATTTCCTTTTCCAAATCCTTCAAAGATCTTTTTAGCCAAATTATAAGTCAAAACTTGTCCGCTAGATACAATCACCTGCAAAGATTTGAAAGCCATTCTCTCATCGTTCAACTGGTTTAACCACAATTCCAGTTGAGTTGGAACACTTGTTAACTGAGTTATTTGATATTGAGTGACAAGGCGCTTGAGGATCTCAATATCTGCAACTAGGCGTTCACAAGTGATTTGTGAGGTCCCTGAAACAACAATAGGTCTACCACCTAGAAGGGGTCCGAACATTTCAGTGAAGCTGTCAACAAAAAGGCAGGATGTTTTAATCAAACTAGGTCCTTCTATCCTTGCTAATGGTGATTCTGCACTCCACTGCCAAGATAGACGATTTGCCACCTGGCCATTTCGAAGGAGGATGCCCTTTGGAATCGGAGATGTGCTCCCAGATGTGAAGAGCACCAAGATGAGAGGATTTTTACTTCCTCTGAACAGGGGTTCGTTTACTGTTTTGTAAAGCGTGTTTGCTTTTTCTAATAGCTCATCAACGGTGAATTTTGTGATTTCGTAACTGCTAATAGTGACGTTGGTATCATCGGTTATGAAAGCGATAGGGTCGAATGAGTTGCACACAAAATTTAGACGCTCGCTCGGAAGATTGCTGTCCATTGGAATGTAAGCCAGACGCAAATACATGCATGCGAGCTAAAACATTAAATAGTCATTAGTTTACTAATCGCCCAAACTCTTATTTATGTTAGTAGATTTGAAAGTGAAATGAAAGGACTTATTTTGCAACAAGGCGTCTTAGGATTGGATTTTAGGATCGAGGTATTTAACTTCACACAATATGGAGAATTGTTGAAAGTTTAAATGTTAACAAACGAAATGTGCATATAGAGCGGTAAAGGAGACAATGGGGGGG